CACACACACACACACACACACACACACACACACACACACACACACACACACACACACACACACACACACACACACACCCCTCTAATATTTCCTTTTGTCCACTGAGCTCTTTGTTGGAGTCCTTGGCCTGTTTGTTTTCCACTGAGTCACAGATTTTGATGATTTGTGTCTGATCCTTGGAGTTGTTATGCTGCCGGTCATGCAGCTTCAAGGCCAGTTAATATTGTGTCATTTTGTAGCAGCGGAGATTGGCTGAGCCTGCTTTTGCCCCACGAGTCCCAGGAGAGACATTCTTCGAGTGATAGCAGAGGAACACTGACAAGTCACTTCATTACACAAGTAACACGCTAAAAAGTCATATCATTATGGGTCTTTTTTGTTATTTCTAACTCCAGCGCTTATGTTAGCATTCTGAAACAATATTAATAATGAGATGAAAAACACATCTTCCGTTCAACATGTGCACGTTGTATTTTCCACAGAAGGTTAGAAGAACACATCAACTAAAATGCCAGCAGCATGAGTGCCCTGTTAATCCCACGAGACCTCTACAGATGGACAGGGTTAGAGTGTACAGTGATATCACAACTCAGTACGATGCATGTTTGTGCAAGTAGAAATGTAATGCATGAATGCATTCCAGCTGATATTAGCATTAATTTTTTATTCACAGCAGGTTAGATTTAGAAATGAATCACAATTTGGGGCAACTGTTTCCCATGACAGAAAATCCTTATTGGAACTTGCATTTAGTCATTTTTATAAAGTTGGACATAATTAGAAAAAAACCTTCCAATGCAGTGGAGACTTCATCTTATGGAGTATGATGAATGGGCAGGAAAACATTTGCATATTTGCCTTCAAAAACTGCTTTGTCTATGAATGGTGCTGAGTAAGTGGTGTGCAGTATTTTTGTCTGTTGCTGTTTTTAACAGCCTTTTCATTGGAAAGAGCTTCCTGTGCCTGGAAGTAACCAGCGCTGAGCTCTGAGAATGAACCACAGAATTAAAATTGGAGGCTGTAAAAACCAAATCAAAGAGGCTATAAATTTTGGTAACACTAAGAGGAACTTCAGTGTTGGCTGTTAATTCCTTTGTGTCTGCCTATATTTGTGATTAATTTAACAATGAGTAATAGTCATCAAAAACACTATGAAAAAAACAAACTAAAAGCCCTTAAGCACGGGACTTTTAACAGTTGTTATTTCATTACCGTATAATCATGGCTATAAGCCTCTGAAGGTACAGTCAGATCTTTTACAAAACCTCCCCTTGATAGTCACAAAGAAGGACATAAGTGACCTTTGGAACAAACTTAAATTTTGTTTTTTTGCACACGCTTTTCGCTACTCCAGAATCCCACACCTCCTGCATAACAAGTCATATGTTTCACATAATGCCTGTTGATGGCATTTTAAGGCCCGTTTCAGTCATGGAGAACCACTTGATGTGAAAGCAGCTTTCACATCAAGTGAATAGATGCATAGAATCGTGAATAGAGCTGCAACAGTATGATACACCAATCGTTAAAGCAAAGTGAAGAGTCAAATGCCAGCACATAATGCACATAATCCCTTGCACAGTGGGCCACTGTCCTAAAGACGTGTTACCTGTCACACTGGATTAGAAAACATTTTGGTTGTAAGTTGTTAAATTTTTATATGTCTTTTTCTGTGCCTAAACACAACATGTTCAAGTCCATTCTTCCTTCTGGACGTCTTTAATGTGGACTACTCCAGTAAAACCCCCCACTGTGGTTAAACACGGAGAACTATCCCAGACTGTGCAGATGTCTAATTAAGATGACTTTGTTACCAGGTGTTGTGACGTTAAGCTTCATGCTGCAATTCTGTTTATTTCCACTTATGGTTGTGGTTTATGTTTATGTTAAATCCAACCACCTAAGTATTCTGTAATCCACCAGGATTTTTAAATCTGCATTTAAAGCTTGTTTCTGCTCTTGGCTTAGAAAAAAAAATCTATTTAATAATGTTTTACTTAAGGCCTTTGTGTGTGTTAGAATGTGTGGGTGACGTGTTTTGCATAAATCTTTTTATACTTTTCTATTTCCTGCTGCTTTGTGTGCCATTCTGCTCTTTGCCTCATCTGGTAAACCTTAAAGAACTAAAAGTGTGTCACGTTTGAGTCACGGTCTTTGGTCTTTGTTCTGTATCATGTCCTTAAATGAACAGCTCTAAAATATTTCCTTTTTTTTTTCTTTTTTTTTTTGCCTGTCCCGTTTGGCTCTTTTGCCATCAGAATTGTTGTCTAAAGGCAAAGAAAGATGCCCAATGGATTTAGTTTACCAAATTGACCATCCCAGCCTTGCCATAATGGTCCATTTGATTCACCTTTTATTGTTTATTTTATTTTCACTTACTGAACATGGGACAGACTTGACTGGGGGAAAGAAGGGGAGAAAGAAAGAGGGAAAGAGAAACAGCTGAGAAGAGGGACGGGGGAGAAGGGCAAAAACCAAAAACCAACAGAATGAGCAGAAAAAGAAAAAAAAGAAGAAAAAAAGAAAAAAAAATGCATATATCAATCTAGCTCTAAAATATTTCCAAGCTACATGTCAGAAACAGCAAGGGCAC